CAACTCCAAAGTTATAACACATGCAATGCTGGTTTAAAAAAAAAAAAAGTCTTCTTGTCTCTTGAAAAAATTTTTACCAATCTAAAAGAAACTACTGCAAAATAAATTTTATATTTATATTTATACTCTCATCTAAGCCATTATTTTTTTAAAGATTTATTTATTTATTTATTTGAGAGAGAGAGCGAGGGAGCATGAGCAGGGGGGAAGAGCAGACCCCGCCGAGCAGGGAGCCCGACGCAGGGCTCGATCCCAGGACCCTGGGATCATGACCTGAGCTGAAGGCAGATGCTTAGCCGACTGAGCTCCCCAGGCGCCCCTTTCATCTAAGCCATTATTAAGCCACAGGCCACTACTAAGATAATGACATTCTAACCAGTTCCACACTCACTTGGCAATGAGTGATGACTAACAGACCAGGGACGAGGCCATGTGCCATACTGCAAAATACTCCAAAACCATTAAGTTATCACCTAAGATTGATGAGTCTTCAAACTCAAAGAGCTCCACTTTTTAGTAAGGCACGAGAAACTTAAGCCATCCACTCCTATCTCTATACCCAGAGCAGGGGTGGCAAACTTCTTGTACAAAGGCTCAGCGAGTAAATCTTGTAGTCTTTGTGGGCTACGGGGACGGGGTCTCTGCCACAACTCGACTCTGCCTGTGCCGCGGAAAGCAGCCATTGACAATCCGCAACGAACAGAGGCGGCTGGGTTCTAACACGACTCCATCTGTAGGAAGAGGCAGTGGGTCAGACCGGCCCACGAGGGGCCGTGGTCAGCCCTCTCTTACGGTGCGGGTACATGGGCGTGTTAGACACTCGTGCACGTCTGCAGGCTTAAGTGGGTGTGTATCTCCTTGCAGCTGTACACCAAACCTCCCCCTGCCTTCCCCCGCGGCCTTGGCAGCATCGTGGGCATGTGGCCGGGGCAGTCCGACAGGGCCCCGTGTTTAGGAGGGTGCTGAGCTTCGCTGTTTAAGGCTCTGTGCTCGACATCTTGAAGTTTGTAATGACTGATTATACACTGGCACTGGCGTTTCATCAGAGAAGTCTGGTGGGATGGTGGAACCCCCACTCATATCTGTGGTCTTCTCTTTACTCCTCCCAGCAGCCCCGAGGTGGGACTCAGACACCTGTCCCCTGAATCTTCCTCTCTGGCCCACACTTGGGGATCTGGCTGCCCTCTGCCTTGGGTGGAACCAGGTCATGGCAGTGGGAGGGTGGGATCGGGGCTGTGTTCTGCTGTGGCCCTCTGCCTCTGGCAGGAGCCGGGACGTGAGCCTGGGGAAGATTAGGTGGAGTGTGTCACCCCTGACATCCCGGGACACAGAGGGGACCATCTCTGCCTCCAACTGCTATCACTGCTGCACACTCAGTAGGCCCAACGTGGAGTCTCTGCTCGTCCTGATCCAGGTACCACTATGCCTGCATCCCCCCATGAGTATGCCTGCAAGGGACAGAGGCCAAGGTGAAATGGCAAATACAGGACACTGCAACTGCACAAGAGGGAGAGAGAGAGAAGGGGGAGGAGGAGAAGGGGGGGAAGAGAGATTATAAGAGAAAGGACAATATTTTATATTGTAATACCTCTGCATCACCTTTTTCCTGCATTTTGGACACAGGCCCCTGCATTTTCCTTTTACACTATGCCCCGATCAACCCTTCTGAGATTCATCTACTAGAATGGAAGGTGGCAAGGAAAATTCCACTTATGCATCCTTTGTAAGCTAACCTTGATGCCAGGGTAATAACAGGGCTTCCTGCAGCATTCCCCGACCTTAAATGTAAGGCTCTGAAATTAATTACAAATTGTAGGTTTCAGACTCTAAAGGGATATGATGATTGGGGTTGCTTCATGGGGGTCACTTCCCTCACATAGTTGCTGTAGGATGAATTCATATTTCTTTAGAATGATGATGAGACACCTTATATAAAGCACAGTCAAAACATATGTATGACATTTAATAAGAACAACAGATAAAGAAAGTCAAAATTTTGCTAAGATATCCCTTTATTCCCTATTAAAGAAGATAAAGCCATAACATTCAGACATACAAAAACACACTGTGTGTCTGGTTTGAATAAACCGACCGTGAAACAGACATTGCGGAGACGGTCAGAGAAGTGTGGGTATGGGCTGGGCCCTACAAGATATTAATCTGTTAGTATTGTCAGGTGTGATGATGACATAGTGAGTACAAAAAACAATCCTCATAGACGCAGGCTGAGGGATTCACTGGTGAAATAACATTGTGTCTGAGATCTACTTCAGCAAAAGGAGCAACAGAAGAGGGAGACAGACAAAGAGGATGTGGAAGAGAAGATGAAGAAACGGTGACAAAGAAGATGAAGGAGGAGAGAAAAAATGTCAGATAGAACAGGACTGGCAAAATGATAAACCTAGGTGATGCATGTGTGGGAATTCATTATAGCGTTCTTTTTATATGTTTTTCAATTCCCATAATGGACTCTGTGTGTGTGTGTGTGTGTGTGTGTGTGTGTGTGTGTGTGTACCTGTTGCCTACAAAAAAATTTCAAATAAAAACTAGGGCACAGATTTTTCATTCTCCTCCATACCAAATGTCTTTTTTTTCTCCTTAGGCTGGCAGGAGCGCTCTACGCTGAAGAGATACAAAGGAGTTGATGGGAAGGATAATCCGCCCATGGGCTCCTGACACAATATAAAAAAGAAAAGGAGAAAGTGGGAGGAAGAGATCGCTATTGTTCCTCCCCTAACCCTTCCTTCTAATTATGCCAGAGTCAAGGCTCGGGTCACAAAGAAAATGATTTTGGTGGTCAACCATTTGCCCTGTTTTATATACATCAAAAAAGCTCTTGTTCTGACCGCATTCCAATCTCACAGTTTCCCACCTACTTTAAAAATGTATCAAGAGGCCAGATTAACAAAAATATGAACAAAATGACTATATTACAAGGAACGCTTTGTCTGTAAACCGGGAGATGGCCATCTTGTTATGCTGAATTGCATGATGTGGGACACTTTAAAAGTTACATACACTTTCTGTCATTATAAGTATTTCTGATAAATGCTCAACATGCCCAGCTTTTAAAAGTTGAATGTAAATTTCTCTCTTGAGTGCAGATGGTGGCCAAGCAAAGTAGCTCTTTGGTCTTCCAGACAGAAGGTCAGGTCATGGCTGAAAGACCAAAGAACAATTGCTGCTTTGCTCCTCCAGATCCACGGAATGAGACACCACCACTTTCCTTTCTGAAACTGTCTGCTCAATACAAAATAGTTACAAAGAGTACCTATAAGATTTCCTCACATTCTGTCCAAGAGAAAATGATAACAAGCACATCCCATCACAAACACCTTGTAACCATTCCAAGGTTTTATTCCTAACCCTCTGACCTCCTAAGAAGGCACATCTTTATCTAAAAACAACACTAGAAATCATTATGAAAACTGCTAATGTTTGACTAGTAAGCAGGAAATGTTCACAAATGAAACTGGCTCCTTTTAAAATCCTGCCACTTTGGCCTCCACATCATTGCTGGTTAATTGCAATGAGCTAGAGCTCTGAAAAGACAAATATTACAAATACTTCTACACGTTATTCATTTACAAGTGATATGGTAATCTTATTATTCCGACAGTGTTTTGTCTCCCTAGAACATTATCCTGTAATTTTAAATAACTCAGACACTCTTCTTATTTTTTTTTCTAATTAGTCCAAGTTGTTATGTTGGGCAGGTGCTATAGAATAATACAAAAGTATTTAACAATGCTAGCAAGCATACCAAGATGATACCCTTAAAAAAAAAAGTCATTATATATCAGGAAAGGAAAGGAAAGTTCTGTTTGGCTTGGTAGTGCTAGATCTTGGGTTGCTGATGGAAGATTTTCAATTCCACTATCAGGCACGCCCCCAACTGGATGCAGTAAAATAGTTTCATTATCTGTACACGTTAATAATGAAAATTCTGAAAATTAAAACTCATAACACTCTGAATACAGTGGTACAAAAGCAGAATCTGATTCTGGTTGTTCAGATGTTAATTTAGTGCCAGGAATTTCAGCCATGACTTGGAAAACTTTTTCAAGTACTAAATTTCATTATCGCTTTCATTTTTAATACTCCCCTATCATCTATTTACATCATCTGCATAGAAAGTTGACTGGGTTGAAAGGGAAAAGATGCTAGAAAGTATGATAAAAAGCTATGAACTAGAAATATATTTGAAAAAAACTAATTTTAAGTTTACCTACTTTTAAATTGTGGTGATTTTTTTAAAATGCTGACACTGAGAACTCATTTTAATTGAATAGATTTATCAATCTACTTTCATTGAATATAAAGAATGAAAGCCTTCGATGTTTTGTACTGTAACACAAATATAGAAAACCCAAAGTGAGTCTATTAGAACTGCCTCTCTCAAAACTTTATCCATGTCATCAATTAAAATTGGAGTATCTACATGATCTCAACAAAGATATAACATAAAACATCTGTTCAACTGAAATGGAAGTAAGCAGCATTTTCCCCTAACATTTCTAATCTCCCTGTATTTAAGGCTTCTTGAGCAAACGTATTCATGGTTATCTTAGTTAAAACTGGTTTTGCTCTGCCAACAATCAATTTGATTGACATATTTACATATCAACTCATCTCATCTTACAAATTTTAAACTTTTTCACTTAAAATTGGATTCAAGTTGGCATCTTTCAAGAACTTTATGTACGTATATTTTAGGTTCAAACTGTGCATTAGAACATTTTTTTTTTTTTACTTTTGTAAGTAATAGATACACATATCCAAATGTATATTTATGACCTGTCAGATTGGGATTTTATATGCAGGCGGTTGTATTCTCACCATTTCATGTGAAAGGTGATAATTTTAGGCAACTATAAATGAAATTCTTTTAATAGTATAAACTGGATTGTTCCATTAGTTAGAAGCAATATAAGAGAAATAAATAACTTACATCTTTAATTATGTCTTTAATCGTTGTAATTACACTTGTCATCTCTTACCTCATCTTTAATTTCAAGATCCCTTTTAGTTTTGGTTCTGTACTCTCTGTGTTCCTTCTCTGCCTCATCCTTCTCCATTTTGGTTTTATTCAACTGATAGCGCATTTCCCCGCACACCTGTTAGATTGTAAAAACTAGATCAATAGCTGCGGGAATCTACCCGGCAATGCCTGCAATTAGATCTTTTGGTGCCCCCTAGAGGTCATATAAATAAAATACAATAGAACTTTGCTAAGAACGGCATTTTCTGTTAGAATATTCAATGTATTCTGTTAAGATGTAAAGGCAATATCAGGTATTACTGAGTCTAACAATTTCAAATTATGATAAAGAAATGTATAACTAATAAATTTAAGTAATGTGCCCAAATTTTTTTGTGCAAAATAACAGTTTCAATTGCACATCATCCAAAAGGCACTATCATCTCTATTTTATGCAGATAAAATCATTAATTAAAATATTAAGCTATGTGAATATTCATTCAAATTGTTGTGATTTAAACAGTAAAGTTTTATTCTATATAGTAAAGTTTTCCTTTAAAGATTTGATCAGTTAGGCTTTTATTTAAGGAAATTTATAAAGGAATTTTTCTCTCTACTAAGAGACTATATAGTATTTAGGTGTACAGTAGAACCCAGTATTTACTGTAATCTTTGTAGATAATGTCAATCTTAAGCACAGTGCGATGTATTTAAGTCGATAAACATTGTCTGGTAAAAGGCACAGACTGGAACCATTTATAACTGTAGCATTCAACATAAAAGGAAAATATACATTTAAGTGAAATGATTTTAACATATCATTAAATAATGAGTACACATAGCATCTTAAGAGTGTTGTGTATCATCCTTTATACAATTTTCTTTTTCAATCCAGGGCCTCTACAGACAGGTAAATAAATTTGGAAAATGCAATCAGCAGATAAATCTAAACAAAGAAATTATGAGCTTTTGAGATAACTGAGAATCTGCAGAGAGATTAATTAACACACAAGTCTGCTAATTCAGTCTCTGATATACAAATACAACTTTCTAAAAATCATGTATCATCTAAAGGTTATAGTTGCTTGAAACTTTTCAATTTTGGTATTTCTCCAAAACTGATGATTAGAACTTCAGAAATTAGTTTTCATCATTACTGAGGTATTAGAATCTCAAAAAACCTGTATCTATTTCCCATGTTCAAATAAAAAATATTTTGAAAAATAAACAAATCTGGGTCTAAAGGTTATAGTGACAAGACAGAGGAAAGTCAGTAAGTTTCTTCCCAGTGGCCCTCAAAATGCTAGAAAAAGAATAAAATTACAAAAAATTTGATTTGAAATTCAAATGCCTTGAAAGTGTCAGAGCTGACCCCTCTCATTAAAAAAAAACTAGTAATTTACAAAAAGTTATTAATTCTAAAGCTAAATAAAGTTTAAAATTAAGAATGATAGAAAAAAATTAGAGGGGCCCAAATTTGCTTGCTTTCTTATTCTTATTCCAACCTATTTGATTTATATACATGAATGAAATGAAAAAAACCCAAATTGATAATACCAAAAAATTATAATTACTCAGCCATGGTGTTTCAAACCCAATACCAATACAAAATTATTGTTTATTATTATATGTCTAAGCATTGTTTTATTTAGAATTATTTCATCCCTTAATTTTATTTTTAAAGTTCCCTTGTCATACTACTTTCACTTTAGCATCTGCTAAGTTTATCCATAACCCTTAAGTTTATCTAAAATAAACTGGCAAATTAAATTGAAGTGGAATGATATCTCAGGGTTGGAGCCACCACAAGGCATGCTTCTGATGCTTCAGTCTTTCTGGACGGTTCTAAAAACAGAGGAGGCATCTTTACTGTACACATTCCAACAGAAAGTTCTCTTCCTACAATGGACTGGACACTCTCACCACCAGCTTTCCCCCATAAATCTGGATTAACCACTGCCAGCCCTCTATATCCATTCCCTTACTTCTACCCCTACGCTCCACACAAACACATTGATGATATTGGCAAATATGGTATTTTAAAACTTTAACGTTAGCTAGCTTGAATTTTAGAAAGCAAATGGAGAATTACAGAAATTGAAGGGAAAAACAAGAAAAAAATAGGGGCTTTGTTTCTTCCATATACTAAAGGTAATTTTAATTACTAAATTATAAGTAACAATGGTATTACAAATGTGTCAACATTTAGGGAAATATATTGATAAATAAAATGCAGTATGAAAAGGTATGCATTTCAAAGAAAATCATCTGTGTCAATTGTTAAAAAAAAAATCAATCAATTTAATTTATTACATCATGCATGCCTATATTTAGTTGCTTAGTTTTAAAGCAACTTATTGCTGAAATCCACATGGACTTTAGTGTTTCATAAATACGTATGTTATAGTGACCAGCGAAGACTATGAACAATTTAGTTTTGGTTTACAAGTTTGTAATGCCCATAGCACAGACACTGTGATATTTTATTTTTTTAAAGATTTTATTTATTTATTTGACACTGTGATATTTTAAAGTACAAATTTAGGGACCAATAAAATAAGACACTTAGTATTGGAGCCTCGATTTTAGAGACCAGGTCTGAAAAGGAATGGGAGGTGGAGAATTTTTTATGTTAAGCACACTCTTCATGTGGTAAATAAATCTCTTTTACTATCATTGTGGAGACCAAAGCCATGCTATCTATGGCAAACATTTCTCCCATCTAATTTAGAAATATAAGTTTTACCAAATATTCAATGATTAAAGTAATGAAACTTGCTTATTGATAAGTCTGTCCCAGCCACTTAACCTTCAGTTCTTCCAGGACATTATTTGTGTCTAATTCATCTTTTGTATTTGCAGCACCCATCAGAGGGCCTGCCAATAATAAGTAAATGCTGGCTTAATGACCATTATGTGGATCTTTACTATCTTAAATAACAAAACTTCTCCATTCCAAACTGCTTTCTGGGCTTTGTACATTAGGAAAAAATTTTAAACTAAAATCTCACATTGTACCTTTGTGACATCCATTTCCTTGGAAGTAAGCTGGTTTTGAACTTCTTCGAGTTGATTAATAGCTGAAATCTTCTCTCTTGTAACCTTTTCAACCTGGGCCTCCAGTTGGGCAATATTTTGAGACAGGGACAACATCTATAAGAGGAAATAAAAGTCCTAAATGATAATGCCATTTGACCAAATAAATATGAAGAACATTGATTACTCAGCCATAAAAAAGAATGAGAATTTGCCACGTGAAACAACATGGATGGACCTAGAGAGTGTAATGCTAAGTGAAAGAAATCAGAGAAAGACAAAATACCATATGATTTCACTCATTTCTGGAATTTAAGAAACAAAGGAAAAAAAAAAAAGAGACAAAGAAACAAAAAGACACAGACTCTTAAATACAGAGAACAAACAGGTGGTTCCCAGAAGGGAGGTGAGTGGAGGGGATGGGTGAAATAGATGAAGGGGATTCAGAGTACACTTATCTTGATGAGCACTGAGCAATGTATAGAACTGCTGAATCATTCTATTGTACACCTGAGACTAATATAATACTATGTAAAAAAAAAAATCTTGAATTAATGGGAGTCTCTGCATGGCTACTGGGTTTGCTCTTAAGTCATTTCTCTGTGAATTGGGTATGTCCGTTTTTCCACTTCCTCAACTCACCCATCTCCCATGACTTAAATATGTACTTCCTTCTGATTCATTCTCTGGTCTCTACCCTCATTTTGGGAAACACATACAAGATGATAAAAATCAAAGTTTGGGTTGAAACCTTAAGGTGATAATCATATAAGCTGTGGAAGGGATTGACAGGAATAAATTTCAAAGGTGATGTCAAGAAATCAGAGAAGTGTGGGGAACCTGGATGACTCAGTCAGTTAGGCATCAGACTCTTGATTTTGGCTCTGGTGATGATCTCAGGGTCCTGAGATCGAGCCCCATGTTGGGTTCCCCGCTCAGCAGGGAGTCTGCTTGAGATTCTCTCCTCTCCCTCTCCATCTGCCCCTCCCCCAATGTGCTCTCTCTCAAATAAATAAATAAATCTTTTAAAAAATGATTAAATCTTTAAAAAAAAATCTGGGAAGTCTTAAACCCTTCTCCCACATGGAAGGATAAAAGGACAGGATGGGAGAGCTGGAGAGCTCCCATTCTCTAGCTACCCTCATTCCTCCTCTCAGCCATCATCCCCTCTCCTCAGGAAGGTTTCTAGGACCTCTGGCTCCCAGCACAAAATAGGAACCCCTTCCCACACCCAGGGTTGCTATTCAGCCACTGTGCCCTGGGACAGCCATGCCTGCTGTTGGCAGCGGGCACCCACTGGCACGGATTGCTGCCCCCACAGTGCTGGTGGCTTACTATCTTGACTCTCTCTCTGGCACGAGCTGCCCCAACCACCTCTATATGTCTCCATCACACTGCAGCCTGAACGTCTGCACACTTCCAGCCCGGCACTTATCCCACTGTCTCGTTGTCTGTTTGCTCCCGTAGACTACAAGCTCCTCGAGGGCATGTTCTTCAAGAGGCACCGAATGTTTGATGAAAGAACAGATCACTGGGATGAACAGATCACTGTGATGAACGGCTTTTCGGAGGAACCATCCACTCTATGAATGTCAGCTTCTTACTTTTTCTTCCCAGGGCGAGAAATGCTTTCTAGATCTCAGGTTTAACCTTTACAGTTTTTTATTTGCAATTACATTTTACTCTGCTCCAGGAAGTCAAAACTTCCTAGACTCTTAATTTTTTATTTGTATTGGCAGCTTTAAAGTGAAAAAGAAATGCTACCTTCCTAGAGAGGGAAACATAGAGAGATACCTATCAGTGTTTAATCTGTTACACAAGAGCTTGTAACAAAACTGAAAGAGTATTTTAAATTTACTGTTGTACATGGACATGGGTGTGAATTCAGTTTTACAACTAAAATCAATAAGGCAAAGTTTGTGATAAAAATCAAGATTGCCTTCGAATTATGTAACTAGCTCAAGTTGACACATATGAAAATAATGAGCCCTGGTAGCGATTTTCTAATTAAATGGTAGATGTATTAATTAACTTTGCTGGGGATTGTAGAGAATTGTACATTTGACTTATGGTTGTTTACATGTCCTTCTTATCATCAAAAGACTGACTAAAAATTTTAATTTGCACATAAAATTACTTTTACTAATACCAGGCTACAAACTATCCTAATGCATATTGCAATCTGAACCCCAAATTGAAAGTCAAAAGAAATTAAATGCAACCAATAATGAGATTTATATACTTAATTTAAAAAATTCAAGTTCATGAGTATCCATATTATGAAGGTAATTATAGCTTTTCCGGATACAACAGCAGGAAACTTCAATTACCAGCTACTAAAAATCATACTTATGTGAAGCTATATCTTATGGTAAACATATTAACATCGGTGGTTTCTGAAGTAAATATGCAGACAGACATTCACTTGCTAATTGTAAATTCCAACTCAGTTTCTATTATAAGCATGTACCGAATCACACTCCTTCCATCTGATTCCCTCCCTCTGCCACCCATCACTTCTTTCCTCTGCCCACTACCTGTCTGCTCCCTCCTGTCACCCACTTCCTGAGGCCTCCACTCCTGTTGTCACACCTTCTTTTTCCCCACGCCCACCATCTGGAAGTCAGCATTACACTGCAGGAGCTTCTCCATCCACATCTGTTGCGGAGACAGAAGTCACACAGACAGCAGCAACACTGCTGGATGTCCAGGGCGCCGACATCAGCTAAGTCCTCTAAACTTTGACAGGGGCAAGCAAGAGACAAGGACACCCAGTCTGGGAGAGCTTGATGGAAATCTCTCAGCTAAAGCAGTCCCTAGTGGCCTCAACATGGTATAAAGTGGTACTCGCCATAGAACAGGTGCAAGAATGAAGGATCCTAGCCATGGACTATTATCAAGGGAACCAACTGAAAAAAAAGAGTAGACCACATAGGGGGTGCTCACTAAATATGATAAATGACTGATTGAACTAACAAACCCAGGGGCTCAGAGCAGCCAAGGACCATAACCGAAGACAACAAACAAACTCACAGCAAGTACTATTCATGGGGGGATGATTCAAAATCTGTCTAGGTAGAAGACATCTGCTCTCTTAGAGCTTCCCACACACACGAAATTTAATGAGAACAAGTCAGGAGAAAGGAAAGAAGAAAAATGATAAAAAGAGAGGAAGAAAGTCTAAAAGTCTCACAAGCTTTCCTGACTGCTCGGAAAGGCCCGGGGGCGGAGGGGGGCGGTGCTTGCTTTAATTCCTAACTACAGAGCTCTCACAACGTTAGGAGGAATTGCTCAGTCTCCCTCTTAGACTAACTTCATCTGCCAGGCAGTGTGATACATATTCTCACTTTTCATCCCCCCTTGAAGGACAAATTACACTCAATTAATTTTCAGTTGAAAAAAATGAGATTCAGAAAATTAAGGCATGTGCCTAAGTTCATTGAAGCTAATGAATAAAAAGTAAAGCCGGGCTTTATATTCAAATCTGTCTGCTTTACTCATACAGAGAAATCTATCCCATCAGGCAGTTTCTCTTTCTCTGGAGTAAGAATGATAATAGCCTCGAGTTTCAAAGTTACTAAATGTCCACTCTAGGCCAGGTATATTAGGCCCTTTTGAAACATTCTGATTTAATCCTACCAATTTCTTGAGTAGATCAACTCCATTTCTTACTCCTCTGACATGGGAGAGGTTAAACGAATTATTCAAGGTCACAGAAAGTTCAACCTGGATTCAACTCTAAATCTTTTGACTCCAAAGCCACTTGCTACCATTTCCTGGTGAAAGCACCTGCCCGAGTGCTAGGACCACTCTCAGCTCTTCATTCAGTCACTTTATTTAGGGCAGGACCTTGAGATTCAGTGCCAGCCAAGGATTACTGTGGGCAAAACATAGCTGGTCTTTGCTATGGGTCCCATTCTCTGTCACACACACAACACGCAATTCACAAAGTTACCCCCACTCCACGCCTCACTCTCCTTGGTTATAGCCAGCATTCCTCCCCCCATGCTCTGCATTTCTGAATCCTACCTACACTTTGAAACTCAGTTAAAATGCCACCTTCCTCACAAAATCTTCCATGATCTCTTGCAGACACAGACCGTTCTGATCCTCTGAATAAACATCTTCATCATACCTTCCCCTTGTACTACATTCATTCATTCATTCATTCAACAAATATAGGTGAAGAACATTTTATGGGAGTCGGATGTGCCAAGCAATGACGATGTTAACCAACCACACATTCAAGGGACTCATAGTAAATTGGGGGACACAAACAATTCAGTAAGAATTTTCAGTTAATTGAGTTACAGGAGCCCACAGGAGAGGCTCTCAATTCATCTCTGGGAGTAGGTGGTAACCAGAAGAACTCTGAAGGATCAGTTAGAGAGGGCATGGGGCAGAGGATTCCTCTAGGCAAGGGGCAAGGCATGTGCAAAATCCTAAAATGAAAACACAGTATGGCAGATTGGCACGTCTGTGTTGGAGTTAGTGCAGTAGGTCAGTATGGTGTCAATACCAGGAAGAAAAGTGGAGGGAGATGAGACTGGAGAGCCAAAGAGAGGAAGAGAAATGTAGAATTTTCATGTGATGCTAAAGGATCCTAAATTTTATCCAAGGGGTTGTAAGGAGACATGAAAGGATTTTAAAGCAAGAGACTGACATATTGACGTATTCATTTGAGAAAGATCATCCTGGCTGTGGCTTAGATGAGAAGGAGGTGAGACCGGAAGCAAGGAGAGGGCTTGGGGCTAGAAATCATCCAGGGGTGAGGTATGGATAGCAGTGGGGTGGAGAGACAGGGCAATGGAAAATTCCTAGGCACCTGAATCTCTAGAATTTGGTGACATAATGATGAGTAGGGTGAGTGAGAGAAAGGACACAAGAATGCCAGCAAGATTTGGGGGTTCCCTGGGAGAGGGAAGATGGGAAGTGAAGCTGGTTTGGGAGCTCACTAGAGAGCTGAGAATTTAGGAATCGATTCCATATACATGAAACTGAGAGCCGCAGTAATGCCAAAGACCCCGAAATCTAAAGCTCTCTGCTAAACTCTAGAACTTTCCATCAAGCTGTTTTCTGGATGTGTTTCCTTGTCTCAAAGGCACTTTAAACTCAGAGCAAACTGAAAGGCACACATCATCATTCTGTCAAATCAAGAATATAGATCCAAAGGAATCAAGGAAAGAGAATCTTTTAAAGGGAGTTTAAGAACTAAAAAATATTACCTAAAAAATAGCACAAGGAGGGCTCTGGTGAACATAATGAGAGGTGAGAGAATGAAGACAAGTACAGACAAACCTTTCAAGAAATGTGCCCATTACGGGGAAAAGCAAGGAGGGCCATGGAATTACTGAGGTTGCACATTGGAATCACCTGGACAACTTTAAAAATACTGACACCTGAATCCTACCCACAGCTATTTACACATCTCGGTTTGGAACGCAGATTGGGCAGGAAGATTTTTGGAGCCTCTATGGAGCCAAGATTGAGAACCACTGGATTGGAAGATTGTTTCTTTCAATGGATGACAGAAACTTGTGCAGATTCTCCTTATAAGGAAGAGGATTCAGCGGGGGAGGAGAATGGAAATGACATCCCTGAGGGGCGCCTGGCTGGCTCAGTCGATTGAGCACCCGACTCTTGCTTTCGGCTCAGGTCATGATCTCAGGGTCTTGGGATCTAGCCCCACAACGGGCTCCACACTCAGCTCAGAGTCTGCTTGTCCCTCTCCCTCCCCCTCAGCCCCACCCCCCTCTCAAATAAATAAATAAAATCTTTAAATTAAAAAAAAAAAAGAAAGAAAAGAAATGACCTCCCAGAGGTGGAGGAAGAGAATGGAACCCAGAGCAAGGGGAATGAATTAGCGTGAGGCTTTTCCTGTTTTGACACGGTTGGCATGCTGGTGAAATTTTACTTGAAGTCACAGGTAAGGGGGAAGATAAATAGTTGAAGTTTTCAGTTTTCTTTGTTAGGTAAGTAAGGCTCTCTGCTGATAATGAGGGGAACGATGGTATAGTAGAGAATTTGAGCAGAATAAAAGTGATTTAAAATAGTCCTTGAAAATGGGCCCAAGATACCATCATTGCCACCTGGACTAGGATAATTACCTCCCACCTGATCTCCAGGCATTTATTCTGATTTTCCTTCCAATCTCTTGACAGATGGTACTTCTCAAATATAAATGGCATCATGATGCTGCCCAATTTAAAGTCGTTCGATGGTTTTCCATTAGTTTCTGGATAAAATTTAAAATCTTTCACATGCATTTTAAGGCCATTCATGCTTTGGTCTCTACATACTATTCCAAACTCATCTCCTGCTACTGTCCCCATTTCCTATGCTCCAGTCACCTGGGCCTTCTTTAAATTCCTAAAAAGTATGATGCTCTTTAGCTTCAGTGTCTGGGGGGTGTCGTTTCCCATTTGAATCTCTTCCCCTCAACTCTTCACCTGACTGCTCCTAGTCAACCCTGTTGAGTCTCATTTTCAAAATCTCTTTCATAGGACAGTCTTTCATGACCACCTGGACTCACTCAGACGTGCCTGTTACATACTCCCATGGTACCCTATACTGTATTTCCTTGCCTTTATCACAGTGGTAACTACAAACTCACTCAGGGAAGTCTGTGTCCAATGTCTTCCTCCTCCCTCCTCTGGAAGCAGGACCGCACATTCCCAGGCCCTCCAGTTACTTTCTGTGGAATGTGGAATGAACAGGGGAGAGGAATGCACGGCGGGACTGCTGAAGCAGCAGGAGCACCAGGGACACTAGGGTCATGATGCACAGGGGTGCTGTCTGCAAGGCTCAGATCGCCCATCAAGGCCAGAGAAGGTAGACGGTTTGATTGACATAGAGTGAGGTTCTGACAGGCGCCATTTTTCTAAAGACTAAGACAAGGGAGTTTACAGTAAATGCCTCAGACACCCATAAGCCTTAAAATCCCCTGGACAGAACTTGTGATTTTTCTCTTTATATATCCTCAGGATTACACATTGCCTTGCACATAGCAGATACTCAGTAGATACATGCTGAGTGATGTAATTATCACACACTGGAATATTATAATAAAGCATTCAGAGTATAAGCTGCGAATCACTTTAAAAACAAAACAAAACATGTAACAGCTGCTTTGGTTATTTTATGGACGCTATCTTGCTCAGTTTTTACTCTATTGTAGCAACTTTAAAGATTTATTTATTTATTTTAGAGAGAGAGTGAGATAGCATGTGAACTAGGGGAAGGAGGAGGGAAAGGGAGAGAGAATCCCAAGCAGACTCCACACTGAGCACGGAGCCCAACTTGGAGCTCCATCTCACGACCCTGAGATCGTGACCTGATGAAAACCAAGAGTCGGACACTTAACTGACCAAGGCACAGGCGCCCCCATTGCAGCAACTTCAAAGCTAGGTTTCAATTCTGTATTCCAGTTTATCACTGTTTTCCAAACACTGCCCATTTCATGTTAGCTGTTCCTTTTGCCTTTCATCTCTTCCTTCCATGTGTTCATCTGGTTATGTTCATTATTCATCATGCAATTTGTCAGAACCTACTTTGTACAGTGTATATAATTATTTTTTCTCGGTTACTTGGTTTCTTACACGTGTTTCATCTTCTACAGGTCTAATTTGAGAGAGAGGGAATATGGTGGGGGAGTCATCTCTCCTGGATTTAGCCCACGTTGAAATAAAATCTGGATATCTGCAGAGCACCTGCTTTTCTCTAACAAACATGAGAGAAGGAATCAAACAGAATGGTGGGATCAAAGTATAATTTTACAGTTTCCTATCATGGAATCAATTGATTATTTTACTCAGAGAGGTCCAAGAATATAACTTTTCTTGAGAAATACATGGAAAAATGGAAAATTTTTATGAACTCTAAATTATAAGCAATTGACTACTTACAAGGTTTTTAAATTGAGTGTTCATTCAAGAATGGCAGCCTACAGCATCATCAGTCACATCACCACAAACATTTCTGCCGCAGCGGGTAACAAAGTGAATCCGAAAGTACCTTTGATCCCACGTCTTCCCTTTCTTTTGTTATTTCCTTTCTCATCGTCTGTTTCTCAAGGGCCCTTTTCTCTTGCTGAGATGCGAGTTCTTTTTCAAGTCGCTCTGTCTGTCTCTCCAGTTGATTCTTCAACTGCTCACACTGGATTAAAGCCTGCCAGAGTAAGATGGAGTGAAATGGGGCCTCAGAATTTGCGAAAATGAGACAATTAAGCTTTAATTTTCTTTAAAATCATCACAAGTCACTGTAAAGCCCATTAGAATAATTTTATATTTGTCAATACCACTTATAGAACTAAAATACAATTCAAATGGTACATTTATTCACACATTTCAATTTTCACAATTAAGACTATATTAACTAAGCAACTAAGAAAACTCAGGTAAATGGAACCCGATGAAGGCCACAGATGAATCCAAATTTTGAAAAACGGCATCAGAGAAATCAAGTGTTCTAATATTTTTCAATTATATAGCATGTCTATTCTAAATGAAATATATAAGTATCCAATTTAACTTTTCATTTGCTTATGGTTAAAAATTAGTGAAATGCTTCAAAATTTAAAATGAAATGTACCTGTTATGATATACAGGCATCTATTTTTAACATTATCAAATAATCAAGTTCCCTTAAATATAACTAAGATAAGATTTATTTCACTCTCCTTCCAAACATAACAAAAGTAAAAATTACGTAATAATAAAAAGTTTAGATAAAAAAAGACTCAAAACAACATTTACTCCCTAGTTTCACGAAATGAGAAGTGCCATCTCTCACTGCTGGTAATTTATAAGTCCATAATTGTTCTTTAGTCTCAATTTCCCACTCTGAATTTCTAGAAGTAAAAACTTTCTAACTTCCTTTTAACTACATCCATAGTACCTTTATGCAAAATACCCAATAATAAACTAATTTCAAAATTCCAATTTTAAAAAACCCCAGTAAAGGTAAGGTGCTTGACACAGAAAGTCTGAGTCATTCTATGCTGTCTTAGTCTTCTCCCAGTGGCTCTTATCCAATATCCAACCTTCACCTCATTCAAAGCCACCATGTTCCTCTGAATTATCAACCCAAGAAACCCAGGTCTCATATGACCTACAAACTGTGTAAGTATGTGTCAAGTTATACATTTGATAGTCACACTTGCTGTTAATGGTGAGGGAAGTGGTCTCAGTAAGCATTGCAAGTTCTATGCATAGCTTTGCTTCCCTCTGGTGAAAGCTATAATAAATACAGACAAATAACCTAGGGTATGTGAATTTGCTTATCTTCATCCGGAAACCATTAAACCCTAATTTCTTTCAAATTCTTCTGGAAAGTTTTGGCACTCCTAGGCATAAAATATGAGGGTAAAACTCAACTGTCTCAGATTAACTGACAAGCACATCCAGTGACTGAGAAATGATTCTCCTAGGGACTTGGTACCAAGTCCAATTCTAGTTGAGAATGTCTGTAAAATAAAATCTTCTATTAGATTTTAAAAGAAGTGAAAAAGCATAGTTTTTCTATAATTTAAGCCCTCGGAGCGTGAAACATTATGAATTTGAGATTTTTGTGCTTCATAACACAGTTGCTGTTGTAAAAAATATTTTAAACATTTTATTTTATTATTATTATATATTTTTTGAGAGAGAGCATGAGTAGGGGGTGGGGAGGGGCAGAGGGAGAGAGAGAATCTTTTTTTTTTAAAGACATTATTAATTTATATGACAGAGAAAGAGAGAGAGCACAAGTAGAGCGGCAGGCAGAGGGAGAGGGAGAAGCAGGCTCTCTGCCGAGCAGGGAGCCTGATGTGGGGCTCAATCCCAGGACCCTGGGATCATGACCTGAGCCGAAGGCAGATGCTTAACCAACGGAGCCACCCAGGCACCCCATGAAAAATATTTTATATGAGTCTAATAAAAATCTTCATAACTTTCAAAGATCTAATACCCGTGGCATGAAAGAATAAAATGATTATTGACTATAAACCAATATTTCCAATCAGTAGCTTTTTCATTGAACAAAAACTCAGGAGTCAACATTATTAAGCACAGAACAGTGGAAGAGACTGCTGAAGATCAAAGAGCAGGCTGACATGAAGAACAACCAAAGAATCAATTCCAAGAATTCAGTCAGTTTGGAAACAAGGAACAGTAAATGATCCTGACAGGGAAGGAGGCCTAATGCCAGCGTAAGATGATATAAACGAAAAGTACAAAGTACAAGGCAAGAACTTGTAAATCACTTAAAACCATTGCTGAAGCCTTCTCCCTATTAGGACTGGCCATCATGGAGAGGTAATGATGAGGAAGTATGAGTAAAAGTAAGGACTTTTATTTGTCTTGATTTTAATATATATGCCTGATCCCAATGGAGAAAATTATGAAGGATCAGTAACACTTGGATTTAGAGAAGCGATTTAATCTTTCTAAAGATAGCTTTCTTACTGTGGACCTCATGCACTAGAAGGCCAAGGGGAAATAAACAAATACTTATACACTCTTTCCATTAAAGCTTTACCTTAAAAAGAAAAAAGAATTTATTTATTTATTTGAGAGAGAGAGAGAGAGCACAAGCAGGGGGAGTGGCAGAGGGAGAGAGAGAAGCAGAGTACCTGCTGAGCAGGGAGCCCAAGGAGGACTGGGGGCTTGATCCCAGGACCCTGGGATCACAACATGAGCAGAAGGCAGATGCTTAACCCCTGAGCCACCCAGGCGCCCCAAAGCTTTACCTTTTTATTCCAGGGCTCCCTCTCCCAGTTTCCAGAATCCCAGTTGATCCAGTACTACCTGATTCTGCTCATCTAACCATTCCATAAAGGCATAATTGAATTCTCACAAGCGAGGTCAGTAAATGGTCAGTTACAGCTAACTGATAGATCTTCAGAGAGGCCCAAGTTGATCTGGGGCCTGCATCTGCCATTTCTCCCAGTGGTTCCCAAGGGGGTAGCTTCTTTCTTTCCCTGAGCACAGCCCCTTTTTGGTGGAAGTGGTTGTTGCTCTTGAGAAGTTGAGGGAATTAGACTATTCCCCCACCCAGTGGACTCTATCCTCAAGGGACCTTTTCTCTTCTGGGAAATTTCTTTAATTGTGGTTATTCTATGCTGGCCACATTAATACATTATTCAAAACATAATTTATTGGACTTGATATTCCCAGCCCTAGTTTTATTAAACCAACAAGTATGGATTACTGTCTTAATGGGGCCAAAACATTTTCTGAAACAAATTTATATCTAGTCAACTCAATTTTTTAAAATAGGAAACCTATTTTAGGACATATGAAAGTCCTTCCCAAGTGCTAGGGCTAGGTTTCTAGAAATCCTTGTGATCAAAGAATTCACAATTCAAGAATTAAAGATCTTATGAGAAATAACAAAATTCACACTTAAAAAATTAAATTTAAAATTCACATAAAAACTTATGAAAATGTTTTCATTTTTATGAACTATAGCCCACAAAACTAAAATGTTGTCAATATGTTTTAAGCAGGTAACTTATAAATAATGACAACCATTGGTTTTTAATTTATAAACTCTTGCTTGCTAGAAACCTATCAGTCAGTCTGTTCCTATCTCCCATTTTCAAGATGTTTATAATTTGCTTGTTTTGTGGCAGATAATGTACATATCAAGAAGCGATGGGGCACATGGGTGGCTCAGTTGGTTAAGCATCTGGCTCTTGAATTTGGCTCAGGTCGTGATCTCAGTGTTGTGAGTTCGAACCCAATGAAAGGCTCCCCATTAAGCATGATTGCCTAAGATTCTCTGCCTCTCCTTCTGCTCCTTCCTGCCCCACACCCTACTTGCTCAATCTCTCTCTCTCTCTCAAAAAGAAAAAATAAAAAGCATTATATTCTCTGCCTGTGCTTGCAGTCAAAGGACCAAATGTCTTGATCTTTTTACTTTAGGTTTCTAATTTTCACCTTTCTGATTCTTCTATAGTCTAAGAAAAAGAATAATTTAGAAAGGAAAATAAAAGTTTTGGGGACATTTATTCAACCTCCTGGGTTTTTGTTTTTTGTTTTTTAAATCTTCCCTTGGAGGGTTATCTCATTATAGATACAGTCATGATAACTTCATGCTAAAGCCAACAATGTCCCTTAAGATAGAAGCAAGCAGGTCTGAGGCCTGGTTAACCATTTCATGTTGTAGCTTTACCAAGGCATCACTGCAAAACCTCTGCTTTTCCACCCTCATTTATTCTGAGGATATTTTTTTCCTCTTTTAAAATGATCCCTGGTTGTAATGGCTTACAATTTTCAGAGTAAATCAAAACCATTTATTGATCACTCACCATGTGCCAGATACTTTGCTAAGTGGCTTACATGGATTAATTTATTTAACACTCTCGCTAAATTTTAATAGTTCTTATCACTCAGCTGAGTGAAGAAACTGAGCAGCTCTGAGACATTAAGTAACTTGCCCAGGATCACAGACCTAAAAAGTGGCAGAGTAGAGATCTGAGCCAGGGTGGTTCCACAGCTGAATGGCATTATAGCTTTCTCGTGTTATAGATTTATTATCTTATAAAATCCTCGGGTGTTTTCACTGCCATCGTCAATGTAAGTATAGAATATAAAATAATTCCTCGTGTGCATTTACTTAGCATGCAATGTGCTAATGTGAACACTAGATGGCAACAAATGTCAAGGAACTATAAGAACAAAGTACCCATTTCAGGAGCTCAAAGATCAAGTAGTTGGTTTCAAAATTAAAATATGGATGCCATTTTACTTTTTTACTCTCAGAAAGCAAAATTCCTATTATGTTTTAACATACTTGAGATAAAGGCTAGTAGATGTGCACTGTATTTTGTAAACTGCCCAGAAATCAGTTCTTGCATTATTACTAATTCAAGGAAAAATGCTTTAGATTCGCAATACGCAATAGCTTCTTTTGTTCTTAACTGTTAAATTTTTAAAAGCACTAATTACACTAATTACCTGCCTTTTAAGGTCTTTTGGTGGTGGGGCACCTGGGTGGCACAGTTAAGCGTCTGCCTTCAGCTCAGGTCATGATCCCAGGGTCCTGGAATAGAGCCCTGCATCAGGCTCCCTTCTCAGTGGTCTGCTTCTCCCTCTCTCTCTTCTCCTTCTTGTGCTCTCTCTCTCTCTCTCTAACCGCCCTCCCTTCAAATAAATAAATTTTTTAAAAATCTTTAAAAAAAATAA